GTGTAAGTTTGGCTCTGAATATCAGAATGACTATTATTATACCTTTCTAGATTGGGAATCAGCTCACGTGTCCTACCCACTGCTTTGCAATGGCAAATGGACCTTTTAAGCCATGCGAATTTGTTTCAGTTCTAAATATAACATTTTAATATTTTCCACAATTTTTTATTTTATCTCTGATTTGAATTTAAAGCTCATTAGGGTTTTTTTGTGTTTAAAATTAAAAACCTATTAGGATTTCTTTTTTTTTTTCTTAAACACATTTGGTGTGATCGTCTAGATTACCTTTTGATATAATAAATTTAAGTAGTTTTTCTATTTGGTAGATTTCAGAGTGTTATCTATTAACGGGTTTTGTGCTTGCAAATCTGTGTTCTCATTTTAGGTTTAACACTTGCTAATCCGTAATATTTCCGACGGCATCATATTGTTATTCTACTGCATCATGATTATAGAAGCATTGGTTAGAAAAAAATCGAAGGTAAAGCATAGTGCAATCATCTTATTTTTTGTTCTTCATATTTTGCTAATAAACAACACAATCCCCAACATTAGCTTGGGAGAAATACGGAAAAAAAACAGAATATTAACTATTTATGATAAAGTTTATAATGTTTATATGAACTAAGCATCATGCCACTGCATGAAGCATTCACATGAATTTATATATTGTTATGTTCCATAACATTTATATTATATATCATATATCTTGGAAACATGCATCTGCGGTGGATCGGTTCAACGCAGTGGAAGTCTTTGAACCGGATGGCCGCTGTAAATGGTTGTTGATGAAGTCTCCGGCCAACATGAGCTTATCAAGATCAATGTTGGTTTTCACACCAATTCCATTCAGCATGTAGACAACATCTTCAGTAGCAACATTTCCTGTTGCTCCCTTAGCATATGGACACCCACCAAGACCAGCAACTGAGGAATCCAATATACTAATTCCCATCTATATAAATACAAATTAATTATTGATTGATTTCCTTAGTAGAATCATCGGCACATCGATAAAAGCTTCGACATATACGAAGAATCGCAAGCAAGTAAAAAGGAAAAGCTATAAGTTGATGACTTACTTGGAGGGAAACAAGAATGTTTGAAAGGGATTGGCCATAAGTGTCATGGAAGTGGACAGCAATCTTCTCTATTGGAACAACTGCTATTACAGCCAACAGCATAGGGACAACGGTTCCTGAACACGACAGAATGAACATCGAACAATACATCATATTCATCGAACCAACGAATTCTAAGAAAAATCCATCTGATCCTTACCTGGTGTGCCAACTCCAGTTGTGTCACCAAGAGAAATTTCAAAGCAACCCATGTCATATAATTCTTTAGCAACATATGCGACTTTCGAGGGAGGCGTTGGTCCGTCCGCCGGGCATCCAACAACACATGATATATACCTATCACATTTGAAAATAGATAAACTAATTGGAATGTTGAGAATATTTTGAAAAGGTAAAAGCCGTACCCTCGCACAGGAACTGAGAGTTCTTTAGCAGCACGAGTAACAGCTCGATAACGAGCAAGACTCTCTTCAACACTACAGTTAATGTTTGATTTTGAGAATGATTCAGAAGCTGATGCGAAAACAGCTACTTCTTTTGCACCAGCTGCAATAGCAGCTTCAAAACCCTATAAAAGTAACCAATCAATCAACATTCTGAATAAAAACCTTTCGTTTTATGGTTAGTCGAGATATAGGTACCTTTAAATTAGGCGTCAGAACCGGCAATCTGACGCCTGTCAAGCGATGAACTCCTCGCATTACTTCCTTTGCATCAGCCAACTGGAAGAGAGAAGTAAAAGAGATAAAATCGGACAGAAAGGATTCTCGAAAAACATCAATATACAATACATAATGCATAGTCATTGTACCTGTGGAACCCATTTCGGAGATACGAAACTCGTTGCCTCTATAACAGATAATCCAGAAGAAGCTAATCTATGAATCAATTCAACCTTTACGGCTGTAGGTACAATGTTCTTTTCATTTTGTAATCCATCTCTTGGACCAACTTCCACAATCTTTACAAACCTCGGTATACCTTCCAGAAACTACATTGTCCGTTATCGAATTATTAAACTTCGGTAACGATTGTAACTACTAAAGCCAAGGAAATATGATAATGTAAGCCAACTACAGAAAATTTTAAACCTATTGCGGCCATTGAATTACCTTATATGTCAAATTTGGAATGTCTTTGTTTTTGAACTTTGGACTATATTGGTATTCAGAGAATGAATCATCAATCATTTTAAATTTCATCGATTTCCTCGCTTTGGTACTAGCCTTTTGGTTTAAGGATTCATCTTGAGGGAAGTTTCTTGTTTGTCTCTTCCATGGGAATGCCTCTGCTGTATACTCTTCATCATCATCATCCCTGCAATTAAGATAGAAGGTTGTGTTATCGATAAACTATTTTTCTCTTATCGTAGCACTCCCAGGCATTCTTAGCACGTAAGATCTTACAATCTTACTATCCAACACTCGATCTTGACTACATTGGTCTTATCGATAAAGCTAATACAGATAACAAACCAAAGAATATACTATAATATCGATTAGATTTAAACGTATTTAAGGGCCTAACTCGAGCCGAAATCTTTGAAAACTCACTGGCAGCTGTTAGATGTACTGCAACTCCGTCCTTCAAGCCAGAAGTTCCCCGTGCTGCCGACATTATCTACTCTCGGACGACAAGTGCCAGATGAGAATCTCTGGATCCTATCAATGGTACTCATGCTCGGCAACTTGTCGACACCAAGTGGTTCCTCCAAGCTTGACATGGTGAAGTAAAATCGTCAAACAGAACTGCTAAACAAGATTTACAAGTAAGTGCTGCACATGATCATTAACATATTTCAAACTTAATTTGCCATCAATATATCTAGGTAGAAAATCACTTTCAAGTTTCAGCTTTCAACTCATTTTCATGTTATAGGAGTGGCTAATACTAAAGCATGTGTGAAGTGGTTTTCATTACCAAATTTCCATCTACTCAAACAATGATAAAAAAGTATTGACTTAAAATATAATCAAAGGTAAATGTCGCTACTGCGAAAATCGGCGCCGGCTGAACAGAAGAGTCGCCACCGTGCGTTATTTATCCCAACGGAGGGAAAGAAAACGCTCGAGGTAAACCTACCGCAACACGGGAAAGGTATGGTCATCGCAACCAAAACCTGGAGTCGGTTACGCAAGGGGAAGGTATTAGCACCCCTCACGTCCGTCGTACTCGACGGGATCCACGCTTGTTTTCTGCTACGGATTATTATTCTATCTACTCTACAGGGTTAAGGGTTGAAAGAAAATAAAATGACTCGCCAAAGTATCGCACTTTATGCCTACGTATTCCCGTCTGGAACGAGAAATCAGAGTCAACGTAGTTCGCCTACCTACGGGAAAGGAGGGGAAGGTTGCTCGCTAGGATATCGCATCTTATGCCTACGTACTTTCATACGGCATGAAAGATCAGAGCAAACGTAGTTCGGGCTACGGAAGACACAGGCTTGTCTTGATTGTTTTTATTCCTTCTGAAAAAGGTTTTCTGATTAACAGTCCCAGCGGACAAAAATGACGTTTTGATGAGTTCACATTCTTTTACGGAAGAAGTGTCTTTTATTGTGTTTGAAATATTTATTGTATTTTTCTGTTTGTATATTCTACTCTTCAATTTTCTTATAATCTCATATAAGATACAGCTGATGCACGCATTCGACGCATCAGTGATCATTTGATCAATATCAAACCGTTTAAATTTGAGTTTTATATTTTAAATTATAATTCAAAAATTAATTAAAATATCTTTTTAACCATTAGATCTTGATCGAACAGTGTATAATATTTTGATAAAGAAAAAAGATAGGAAAAAAGAGAAATGGAAGAAAAAACAGACCTGAAAAAAGTGAGAGTTGAAGAGATGGAAGGGAATGGAGAAACCGTTGAAATTGAGGGAAGTAGAAAGAGGTGAAAATTGAAAAGGAATAAGAATGGAAGAAGGTAGATGAGGAAGAAAGTAGGAATGAAAACGTGCAACTTCATTGAATTTATCACTTTTTTTCAACTTTCAACTATCAATTCTGTTGGTAGTTGGGGCGTACTATTTGCTGTGCCAGTTATGGTATATTTGACTTTTTATTTTATAAATAAGTATCTCTACGGCAAGATTAATCTCACGAGCAATTATGAAGGATTAAAATAAAGTTTACTCTCAAAAACATTTGACCACTTTTTGTCAATCACTGAGTATAGAATTTTTTTTCTTTTTCCACTTATTTTGTAATTTAATAAAGTTATATATCTTTACACTTGATTTAGAAAATATTTCATCTTTTCTGGTTTTTTTAAATTATAGTCAAAATAGAAAAGTTTGTATTTGAATTTATAATTATTTTATTATTAAATTTTTTTTTATATTTACAAAATTATTAAATTTTATTTTAGTTTTTAGGTTTCGTTTAGTGTGAAGGGTGAATTAAGTGTTTCACCAGGAAAACTTAATAAAAAATACTATTAGATTTAATAAACAGTTTATAATTATTAATAAAGAAAACAAAAATATTTAATACATAAAACACTTTTTTTTTTGTTTAGTTTAAACAATAAATTAGGAATATTAAATTATCTCTTGTCACACCAAAGGAAAACTGGGAATAATTTGTCTCAACATCAATCTATTTGGATTGAGAAGAACTTAAGTATTACAAATTCAGCATATCGAGCATTGCAACTACTGGTGTGGATGCATACAAATTTAACAATTTCAAAAATAGTTAAGGGTGAGAAGAAAGAAACTCCCACATTTGCATGACAAATTCTACCATTCTAATACAATCATTGTCTAGTATCCTAAACAGCTTTACTCAAAATGTCACAATAATTAAATTGACAACTACTTTGATACACTGCAAATGAATTACAATGGCTGAATTTTGAATCACAATGTAATGTTTGAAAGAATGCAAGAAAACACTTTGTAACATTAGGGCGAGTTTACGAAGTTTCGGGCTGCATCTAAACTCAACTCTTCATTGACCTAAAGAAATAAAACAATAAAAGAAGTTTCTCTTAAATACATTATAACAACATAAACATAAATGATAAACATCATTTATAGATGTGTTTCTATATGCATAATTTTGAAACACGGTTTTATGTTTCACCGAAAATATTTTCCATGGTTTCTTTTATGAAACAACCAATAGCCAAAATGATAATCCTTATACACATACCAGTCTATTATGAATTTGTTGGAATGCCTGGCAAAATTTCTCTGCTTCTTCTGTACCAACCTGTCGAAACAATTGAACGAATTAGGCGATTCTCATTCTAAGTCTTTTTAATGACATAAAGCTTTGTAACATCACGATCACAGTTATAATACAGATACTATGATATAACACACCCTAGTGCAAAACACACACGCAAGTAGTCAATCCCCGGATAGCGGCGCGGAGCGGCTGGCCCCAAAAACAGGATGGCGGAATGGTCGCTATTGAATCATCTTTTGGATAAATTACATGAATAATAATTATAAACATATGAAAGATTACATGAGGTGATGTAGGAACTTGTGATTTTTCTTTGGAACACCCGAAGTGCAAAAACATCGGTATGGCCGTATGGGAAGGTTAGGGTTGACTATCAACTCAAGTTTGATTGAAAACCCAAAATTACCCTTAAAACGTTTTAAATTTGAAGAGTAATTTTGTTTTTTTAGGGGAAAAGAATAGCGGGACAAAAACCGTTCCAACCCGGGAACCGCTTTGTCCCCGCTACCCGCTATTTACCTATAGCGGCCGTAATAGTGTTATACACCACTAAGGCTCTTCCCATAGCGGCCAGCCTTCGCTCCGCTATATAGGGGGGTAGCGCCGCTATTGGCTTCTATTTACTACTCTCATACATATCCCTCTCACTTCTCTCTATTTATATGTGCAATGTGCATAATAGCCCTCACAAACAAAATCACAATGAAGAGAAAAAGAAAATGTCGACAACTAAAGAATATCTATACATAAAAATGATAAACTAAGATGCTTCTCTACCATAACAACAAAAGATTCTCCTTATTACATTAGAATGCTTATCCTCTATCTTTACAAAATAACCACATAATGCTCCATCATGTGATGAAACTTATAACAAAGCATGCAAATCAAGTCTACTAGGTCACTGGTTCCAAAGGAAGAAGGAAGAAGGCATGGATGCGAAGTCAATTTCTTTTTAACATGCCATATAGGACAATAATTTATGAAAAATTCTCACAAGTGCCCCTAAGGCATTGTTCAAGGAGTCTAAAGAGGTAACATTTGAATAAAAAACAATGTATTTATTGAAAAATTCTTAGGTAGACACAGCCATAACAAGTAGTTTTACACATAACCAGTCACAATTTTTTATTTATTAAAAAATAAAAATAAATTTTTCTCTCTCCTTCATAATCACAACCACCCCATGAATTCAATTAAAAAGTAAATTAAATTTAAAATTTTCTCTCTTCTTATTGGATGTTTCTAAGAATATAGATTTACGTTTCCATGCAAGTATTTCTCGTATTTATTACTTTGACAAGTTTTTGACTTATATATCTAAGACAAATTCTTTTTATGGGTTCCTTAAACAATGCCTTTAGAATACTTGTTAGCATGACCATTTTTTATTTGCAGAAAGACAAAGTCCATGTTTCATCATTCAACAAAATGATAACTAGATAGTGCAAAAATGAAGATCAAAGTAATTCAAATTGGGTTTGAAAGTGTTGTCTGAAAAATAAACCTTTAATATTGAATACGAAGAGATTTAAATTGCACTTAGTTTCAATTAAAAGTTCATATAATTAGCTTCAAACTTTTAAGATTAAAGCCTATAAATTAAGGTGGTGTTGTAGAGATTGAAAAGTAAAGAAATAAACAAGGGCACGAGCAAATTTCAGTACATGTGTCCTAAGTTCCGTTCTAATAACTTAAGCAACGAGGATAGTTAAACTACATAAATCATTGTGCATGTAAAAGTAAACAGATGAATTCAAAATACCTTTTTGGCAGCCTCTAACTTTAGCTTGCTCCAAAATGGATCTGTTTATTTGAAGAATTCACACATGCGAAACATTAATTTAGAAAACACAATTCAGTTGATTGTGGTAACAAAGTTAACTATATTGCTCAGAAACACATGAATTTTGATGTACTTGGCCGAATATCAAAGATGATCAAAATGTTCCTCTCAAAATTTGGGTTGGGTCTAACCCATCCCTACAAAACCAGCTTGTAAGGTGAAGCTTGCCCCCACTTAATTACACAACACAGGTCATATTTCTAAGCAATGTGGTATTAAATCCCAACAGTTCCAAATATATTAGACAGAATAAATTTGTGATAGAATCAATTCAGTATCTAAAAGAGAGATTCAGAAACAATACAAGAAAACTGATAAAATTACTGATTTGATTAAAGAAATAGGCTAGAGTTCAAATGGTATCTAGCAAAACCAGTACAAGGAAATTGCAGAATGCAGTAAAAAAAAGAAAGATGATAGAGGCACTTTGAGAGGCCTTTTCTCTCCTAGGGTTCAGATCTAATGGAATATTTGCATACCCCACAAATGATTGAGACCCAATCATTTATGGAATTATTCCTAGGTCCTATTACCATACAGCTGCTGCCAGCTGTCTTAACCCATGTGCTACTGCTAACAGAATTACCATACAGCTGCTGCCAGCTCTCTCAACCCATGTGTTACTGCTAACAGAATTTGTCCTATTCTCTCTCTTTCTCTTTCTTACGTTTCCTCACATATTGCCTCCCATATCTACCAATTCCCCTCCCTTCAAAAACTTCCTTGACCTCAAGGAAGAAAACTGGAAATTCCTCTTTTAACCTTTCAGCCAACTCCCAAGAATTCTCAAATTCTGGAAGGTCTTTCCATTTCACCAAGACCTCCCAATCCCCTTGATCATTCCTCCTGTAACCCATTCCTTTCTCAAGCACAGGTTCTAAATACCAATCCTCATTCATACAATCGGGCAGAGGTTGGGGTTCTGCAGAGGCACTAATAGCTTTTTTCAGCAAGGAAACATGGAATACCGGGTGTACTCTAGTATCATCAGGCAGCTTAAGCTGATAAGCCACCTCTCCCACCCTTTTAACTATTTCATAAGGTCCATAAAATCTAGGGCTCAGCTTCTGGTTCAGCCTTTTAGCTAAACTCTTCATTTTGTAAGGCTGGATTTTTAAGAAAACCTTATCTCCTACTTCATAAACCACCTCCCTCCTGTGCTTGTTTGCTTGATTTCTCATCATATCCTGTGCTTTGAGTAACTGCTCCTGCAGTTCCTTGATCATCAAGTTTCTTTCCGTTGTCAATTTACTGATTTCATCAACTGCAGATCCAGGGGTGTCTCCTCTAATTAACACTGGAGGTGCTCTTCCATATAGTGCCTCAAATGGAGTGGTCTTTAGTGAGGCATGGTAGTTGGTGTTATACCAATATTCTACCCATGCTAACCACTTAGGCCATTGCTTAGGTTTGAGCCCTGTAACACACCTGAGATATGTCTCCAAGCACATGTTGACTACCTCTGTTTGGCCATCAGATTGAGGATGGTAGGCACTGCTATATTTCAACTTAGTCCCTGCCAGCTTAAATAGCTCAATCCAGAAATGGCTAAGAAACACTTTGTCTCTGTCAGAAACTATGGAACTGAGGAATCCATGCAATCTAACCACTTCTTGAAGGAAAACTTCAGCAACACTCTTGGCTGTATAAGGATGGTTAATTGGAAAAAAATGAGCATACTTAGAAAGTCTATCTACCACCACCATAACAGTGTCTACTCCTTGCACTTTAGGTAAACCCCCTATGAAATCCATAGAAATATCACTCCATACTTGTGTGGGAATAGGTAAAGGCTGTAGTAATCCTCCAGGTGTCAATGTTCGATACTTATTCCTTTGACACACTTCACACGCCTGCACATACTCTTGAATTCTCTTTCTCATACCCTCCCAATATACCACACTACCATCCTTTTGTAAGTCCTGAGATAACCAGAATGCCCTCCTACTGCTGTATCATGGAATTCATTCAGAATCCAACTAATTCGAGGGGATCCTTTAGGCACCACTATTCTTCCTTCATAATACAACCTTCCTCCCTTAAGTTGAAACCCCTTCTGACTAAGAGGATCTGCTAATAAGGCCTGCACTATCCCCTTCAGCTTCTCATCCCGTTGTACCTCCTCTTCTAATCCATTCCAAGCTTCACTTTGGACAGTAGTTATGTGAGAATACTGCATCTGCCTGGAAAGGGAATCTGTTGCACTATTTTCCTTTCCAGGCTTATACTTAACCTCAAAATCATATCCTATCAATTTAGATAGCCACTTCTGCTGGTCTTCCCCCATCACCCTCTGCTCTGTTATAAACTTTAAGTTTTTCTGGTCTGTATGCACCTTGAAATGCTTGCCTAATAAATAGGGTCTCCATTTCTGAATAGCTATGACCATTGCCATGAGCTCTCTTTCATAAACTGACTTTTGTTGGGCTTTAGCTGCTAGAGTTTGACTCATATATGACACAGGTCTGCCCTCCTGCATTAACACTGCTCCAATGCCTTTGCCAGAAGCATCAGTCTCCACTACAAACTCTTTTTCAAAATCTGGCATAATCAAAACAGGGAGGGTGGTCATGGCTATCTTCAGTTCATCAAAAGCCACTTGTGCCTCTGTACTCCACAGGAAACTGTCTTTCTTCAACAACTGAGTAAGGGGCCAGGCTATTTTTCCATAATTCCTTACAAACTTCCTATAGTAGCCAGTTAGACCTAAGAAGCCTCTTAATCCTTTTATATTTTTTGGAACAGGCCACTTAATCATATCTTCTATCTTTCTGGGGTCTGTTGTTCCTTTGGCAGATATTAAATGCCCTAGATACTCCACCTCTTCTTGACCAAAAGAACATTTCTTCTTTTTAGCAAATAGTTGGTTATCCTTCAACACTTGCAATATTACAGTTAAATGCTCTCTGTGTGCTTCCTTACTCATAATATATGAGGATGTCATCAAAAAAAACCAAGCAAAATTTCCTTAAGAATGGCCTGAGAATTTCATTCATGAGGGCTTGGAAAGTGGAGGGAGCATTTGTCAAGCCAAAAGGCATGACAAGATACTCATAGTGCCCCTCATGTGTTCTGAATGTTGTCTTGGCTATGTCTTCATCCTTCATCCTAATCTGGTGATAACCAGATTACCAGATTTCAAATCCAATTTGAAAAAGATGACTGCTCCACCCAATTCATCTAATAATTCCTCAATGATGGGAATGGGGAATTTATTAGGTATGGTCACCTTGTTTAGAGCTCTGTAATCTGTGCAAAATCTCCACCCTCCATCTTTTTTCTTTACTAACAGCACTTGGCTTGAAAAAGGACTGGTACTGTGCCTTATGATACCAGCCTGGAGCATTTCTCCTACAATTTTTTCTATTTCATTTTTTTGATAGAAAGGGTACCTATAAGGCCTCAAGTTTGGAATGGCAGCATTAGGTTTAAGCAAAATAGCATGATCATGTTCTCTCCTGGGAGGTAGTCCTTTAGGTAAATGAAACACTTCCTCAAATTTCCCCAAAGTCTCATCCCACTCTGTTAACTCATCATACCTTTCTACTGCAACCATTTGCACAGTTTGCACATAGAATCTCATCCCCTCATCCTTCAAAGCTCTCATCATTCCTTTCATAGAAACTTGTTGATTGCTTAATGTAGGATCTCCTTGAATACTATACTTTTGTCCACCCCACTCCCACATAAGGCATAATTTTCCAAAGGTAGCCTCTATATTGCCCAAACTAGCTAACCAGTCCATTCCTAGCACCATATCAGTCCCTCCTAACTCCATCAAAAAGAAATTCTGGCTGAACTCCACTCCTTGCAACCAGAACTTCAATTTTTCACACACCCCTTGATATTTCATGTTCTCTCCGTTTCCCACCTCAATTACATATGGTGGTGTTTTCACCAACTGTAATCCCATCATTTCCACTAGCCTAGCATCAATGAAATTGCTAGTTGCCCCGGAATCAATTAGTGTCAACAGTTCCCTTTCTTTGACTGTAGCCCAGACCTTGAACGATTTATTAGAAGTTAGTCCCTCTTGACTCTGCAGGGAGAGTTGCAAAGTCTTGCATTCCTCCACTTCGTCCACCCAGTCTTCTGTTTGCACCACTTTTCCTCCTCTTTCCTCTTCCTCCTCACTGCTATTCTCACATAATTTAAAACTCATATGCTTAAATTTGCATATGTGCTCCCTATTCCATTTATCCCCACATTTGAAACACAGCCCTCTCTTACTCCTTTCTTCTAATTCTGCAGGATTTAATCTCCTCCCTTTGAACTTCTCACTGCCTCCTCCATTACCTTTCTCTCCCTCCTTCCTAGATCCTCCTATATCTGCAGGGTCCCTAATCTTAAAAGATTTCCATGAACTACTCTTCTTGTGGACCACCTCATTTTTTTCTTCAATTAACAGGGCCCTATCCATCAAATCTGCTAAACTTTGACTCTCATGGAGTTTTAGTTCGGCTTGAATCTCCTCTTTTAGTCCATTCATGAAAATGGAGTCCAACATAATCCTTTCTTCCCTTCTCAACGGATCTACAAGCATTTCGAATTTCTCCATATACTCCACCACTGAGCCTTTTTGCCTTAAACTCAACAAAGGCCCCATTGGGTTATGCAGTAGACCCGGTTGAAACCTCCTCATCACAGCTACCTTAAACTCCTCCCATGTCCTCAGTGGGGCTTGCTCCTCCCACCACTGGTACCAATTCAAAGCCTTGTCTTCCATAGCTAACACTACCGCATCTAGTTTGTCGCGCATCCTTACACCATTCAAACGGAAGTACCTCTCGACCCGCACGAGCCAACCATACGCGTCCTCTCCCTTGAAAATGGGAATTTCCAGCTTCCTTTTGCTTCCCATGGTTCGCTCTCCTTCTCCACCCCAGTGACGGCGATTTTTGGGTCGAGATTCGTGCGAACGGTTGCTTCTTATGCTCCCATCATCTTCGTCATCGTCGGATCCTCTGTGGTGACCCGGACGCTCCTGAATGAGTTGGCGAATCTGCTCCACCGTCACTTGCGGTCTGGACTGTTGCTCCGTTACGATTTGGCGTATCTGTTCGATCGTCCCTTCGAACTGATTCATCCTCTGTTCCATCGTTTCCACACGATTCTCCATGATACCACGCGTAACAACCATCCACCGAGTAAACAAAACCAAGGCTCTAGATACCAAATTGATAGAATCAATTCAGTGTCTAAAAGAGAGATTCAGAAACAATACAAGAAAACTGATAAAATTACTGATTTGATTAAAGAAATAGGCTAGAGTTCAAATGGGATCTAGCAAAACCAGTACAAGGAAATTGCAGAATGCAGTAAAAAAAAAGAAAGATGATAGAGGCACTTTGAGAGGCCTTTTCTCTCCTAGGGTTCAGATCTAATGGAATATTTGCATACCCCACAAATGATTGAGACCCAATCATTTATGGAATTATTCTTAGGTCCTATTACCATACAGCTACTGCCAGCTGTCTTAACCCATGTGCTACTGCTAACAGAATTACCATACAGCTGCTGCCAGCTCTCTCAACCCATGTGCTACTGCTAACAGAATTTGTCCTATTCTCTCTCTTTCTCTTTCTTACGTTTCCTCACATATTGCCTCCCATATCTACCAATTTGTCAAACAATAAAGATTATAGGTGATACCATGTTTGTTGACTACTTGATTCTCAAAATCCTTATCCTTTTCATTCCATGCATCATGCCATTCATTTAGCTGCAGCTATAAGTTTGTTAGACAACATTATGTGTTTACACACAAACATTAATACATACAGCGGCTCTAGGATTACTACCTCTTCTTGTGCTAATTGAGATCCAGACCCAGATGCTAATTGTTTGGATGATGATTCTTCTTCCTGAAATTTAAGAGTTGTCAATTAGGTGCTTGGGTGTACTCTCAAACATAGAATCTTCCAAAGTATTTGAGCTAAAAGTTCAAAATTTTGGACATTTGCTTTAAATAGTTTCTGACTATGTTATGGAAAACAGGACTTTAAATTCATAAATTAAAGTATATGCAAACCTTCACCAGTGTGAAGACTTTTAAGGTAGAAAAATCCTATAAAATGATAATGCCTTCCATCATATTACATATATGAAATGGAAAAACATGGGAAATCATTCCAATCTCTTTCTTAAATGAAAATCAAAGCAAAATGAGATGATATTCTATCTATTCTGAAAACTCCCTGGACAAATCCTAGCATTCATAAGGCAACCCCTGCGTAGCGTACTCCAAACTCAGTACAAAGAATGAGGCAGAGTTTAAAAACAAAAGGACACGATTTTACAAGGATTAGTAGCAATTGCCTACACACCATCCTCGCACCTGCCAATCATCGACCCTCACATATAGTGTAGTCAAGATCGAGTGCTGAATCATTTTCATCGCCGGCATAGTCAAGATCAAGCTTTTTGAAGCAAGATCGTAAAGAAAATGTGTTGGACCTTTTTTGGGCCTGAATTATAATTTTCCATGTTTTGGTGTATGTGTGTATAAATATATATGAAATTACCACTTTTCCCTTCGTTAAGATCTTACGTGTCGTGCTTAACGATCCAAATTTTACGATCTTTCACAAGCCAACCAATCCTACTCAAGATCTCGTGCTTGACTACATTGCCCACATAGAACATTCATTTCATACAGATTCACAAAGTTATAGATTGACTGTCAACCCCCACATGAAACAAATGATTATAAATTGATTCAATGCCTAGTTCCCAATAGAGTTATCCGCATCGCTCATACAAATGCCTGTGTAAACTATGAAGCACCGATACTGACACCGGGCATATCAATCTCTGTTGTTAAACTCGGCTGGAATAGCACAGTTGGCAAAAAAGCGTCAGACCGCGCTGGAACGGCACAGCCGGGTGATGCGTGTCTGGTTTTTCCCTTAATATAAAAGCCCTAATACAACTCTCAGATGCTTTAGAATCTACAACATATATATTAGTGTCCGCATCACTAAAATAACGCCCGTCCCATTCCGCATTTCCATTCCGTTCCATTTTTTGGGGATGGCCGCACCGTGCCGTAATCCGACTTTAACAACATAGATATCAATGACACTAATATTAATATGTAGACAACAATAGTAATAATTTGAGCAACTGGAAGTTATTGAGTATAACCACATGTGCGGGTATGGTGTATGTATGGAACACCCGACACACGCATTCAATCAAACTAATCGGTACCACATGGTCTGCAACTTCAATACCTAGTTCTAGTTGAAAAACTAACAACCCTATTTTCACAATTTCTTTTGTATCAACAATTAACAGTTGAATTCCCCTCTTTTTTTTTAACAAATTGTTGAACTCTCCAATTTCAAAACCAGAACCACCTCCTTAATATCAAATAAACCTAATTCATGTCTCTACCTAATTAAGATCTCAATCTCATACTCTCTCCTGAAATATCCTGATAACCTAAAACTATCTTAAAAAGAGTTAACAGATGTGTAATTCGGTATCATAAAAGTAGCATGTAAACCACAAAATTGACAACATGGGTATCTCAAAAATCGAAACTTTAATCAACAAGGAAGTGAGATTTGTGATGGTGAGTAATAAAAATACAAAATCAAGAAGAACCCATAAGTTTCTAAACCCTAAAAATACAAACACTAGATAGATAGAGAGAGAAGTACAATGTAATCGCGAGAACGAACAGTAGGGAAAAGCTGGAGAAGGCGTTGAAATTCAGCTTCATCCATGGCTATGATTATGGTTGACTGCTACAAGTTTCACTTTGAGGATGTGAATTTTACAGAAATGACTTCACTGACACACAACCTTCAGAAAACGAAGCACACCGCAAACACAAACTATTCTACGATTCTCTAATTTTTCTTTTGTTTCACCCATTCTCTTATTATTGCTCCATTTTTATTATAAGAAAAATTAATTTTTTAAATATATTAGAATTTTTTACCCAAATAACTCAATTTTTTAAAAAAAATCTCAAAATAACTCATCTTTTAAAATTAGTCTTAAATTATTCAAGTTAGGATTTGGGATTACACAAGGGTGTCAGATGGATTGGCGACACCTTGTTAAGGTTATAAGGGAGTCGCCAATTGGATTGGAGACTGCATGAGGAGTCTCCAATCCAATTGGCGACTTGGTGTTAAACTTACAAGGGAGTCGTCAATTCATCTGGAGACCCCTTGTATTTTGAATTTTTCTTCTATAAATAGAGGTGTTCTGATCATTTACTTTCACATTTCATCTAATATCTTTGTTCTGCTAATAATATGTACAGTCGCCGGTGGGGAAAAATCGTCTATTCGAGAGAGAAGCCTCTGATGGACATGTTATTTTGGAACATACAAAGTTTCAATCAACTTAAGAGGGAGCTGAATCAGTGGTTGGAAGGAAACATTGGTCAAGGAGAAAAGATTTGTAGTATCGAGAGACTTGATCGGCTGCGTGGATGGGTTCGTGTTAAGACAGACAAAGATGTGAGGGAAGTCATGTTTGGACCGAATGAAATTAGTTTGATTGTTGTAATCAGTTAGAAATGTCGTAATCACCTAGTTAATGTTTTATGTTTTATGAAATTAGCATGTGTTGTGTGTTGTTAGTCTTGGAAATATTTGAAAATATTTCCGACACATACCCACACATGTGGTTATACTCAATATTTGAAAATATTTGGTTACAACAAATAAAATGATAAGCTAATCATGATGCATATGTGCCTCCGACATTGGGACATTTTTTTGGTTGTGTCCGGGCTGACGACATATACTGCACAATCTTATCATTTTATCAGTCGTAACCATTTCGGTTCTTATACGCTTACTGTTTGGGCGTCCCTTTTTCTTTCTTCTCATGTCATCGTTGTGCCAAACTATGTCATCTTAGTATATAGGCCAATAATCCTCCATTGGTACCGCTGCAAAGCCTTCGTTGTATACGTTCATAACATTAATCGCCTTGTAAACATCAGATAGATAGCCATAAACATCCTGACGAGCATGTGCGCATCTGTTAGAAATATATATCGGGAGTGTTTTATCATATCCACAGGGATTAATGAGAATATTTGATCTATCAAATATTCTCATCAATCCCTGTGGATACGATAAAACACTTCCGACATATATTTCTAACAAATTGGCGTAGTTGTCGGGGATTGTTAGTAGAATATTGCAAGCATTGCAATAGTTTAGTGACTTTAAGATTTGTGTATTGTGAATCTCTTATCTCTGTAATTCTTTGTGTTTTTTGATCTGTTTAGCTTGTGTGCAGAATTCGTTTATGCAATGACAAGTCTGGCCTGAAGACCTTCTTTTCGATTATGAGATTGAAAGAACTACTTGTCGACTCAATGTTGAAGCGGTAAAGCAGCAAGCAAAAAATATTAAGTACCCAGTTTTATCGTCTCCACAGGGATTAGTGCGATCTGAACGCCGTTCAACGATTTCTACATTTCTAAGCTTATTGTTCAAAAGGTTTGGTTTAAAAGTTCTAGGAACCATAAATAAAAACAAAAATTATAAAATAAAGACTGAAATATAAATGGAGCCTTGTTGGGATTGGATTTCATCAATTGATAACACATGCATTCTTCTGATCAAATTAAACACAACGCAATCATTCATCTAATATCATCACGTATCACTCACGACAAAGTTTATCTCTAACGCGGCGTCGGGAGAACAACCGTGTTGTCTCATTGGTGATCTCTCACCCAACAAAAACACAACACAGAGCATTAAGATCTGATACTCACGCAAATGCTAAGCATAAAACTATCTCTAGCATTTAGGACCTAACAGGAAATCATCCTAGATCCAGATCCGAAAAGTATATCTCTATCACGATTCAAATCAAAGATTAACAGGTAAACAAGAATGAAACCCATATCAGATAAACAATTGTTTCATATAAAATACAATGATCAGAATACGTACACACGCTTAACCTTTTTTACATGTATTCATCTAATCCGCCAAATGTCGGTGAACATCGTTCTTCATCACTATTATCACATACCCACACAATATCATATTGATCCTACCCATGCTACTTAATCAACACAACACCATAGAAGATAAAATGAATATCAACTTCAAAACCATGTCAAAAGTTTGTTCATTGATAGAAGAAAATCTGAGATCAAAGATGTGAAATGGTTTTGTCAAGACCCACAAATACATAATCAAAGATATTCAATCAATAGAAAATCCAAACTAGTTCACAAACATATATTAGATGAAATACATATGGTATCAAAAGACTACAATCCAAACCCCAACAAGAGATCAAAGATCTTACCTCCTCCCTCTTAGGGTTTGTACTTCTCTCTCTAAAATAGATGAAGAGAAAATAAGTTATGATGTCTAGAAATGGAAAAATTACAAGCTATGAAAGATAGATATATTTTTTTGACCTAAAAAACACTTAAATAAAGAACAAAAGATGTTCTGTTTTTCCCCATTCGCCAGGCGAACAGGGGCCTTCGCCAGGCAAATCAAATGAAACCTGGCACTTCAAAGTGCCTCCAGCAAGCAAACCGCCCTTTTGAGTCATCGCGCCTTCGCCAGGCGAAGGAATCATTCGTCAGGCAAACCTTCGCTGGCTTCACTCGTCAGGCGAAATTTATGTTGGTTTGCTACTGGAATATCCAAAGATCCTTCTCCAACTCCTTCGCCAGGCGAATGGTAGCGAAGCTTCGCTGGACCCATTCGCCAGGTGAACTTCATGCCCTTTTGGTCTGGGAGTTTAATTTGAATTACTCGCCTTGGCTCGCCAGCACTCGCTTGGTGAACCTTTACTAGCACTCGCTGAGCTTCGCCAGGCGAACATGACAGATTCCAGCTTCTTCCAGCAGCTCTTATTTCGCCTAGTGAGCATGACAGCATTTTGGTGATTTGCATATTCTCTTGGTTTCCTTGCCCATTTCTTGTGTCTTACTCTTCACTTGTTTTGTGCCTAATTCCTGCACAATAACACACAAATCAAAGGTACCAAGAGCTTTTCACACTATATTGCAAACCAAACAAAACAAGAGTGGTTTTCTACACTTAATTGACGAAAATGAGTGAAAATGCCAACTTTTGATAGATCAAATAAGTGAAATTTGGCATCTAACAACTCGCCCCAACTAGCTTTTTGCTTGTCCTCAAGCAAAGTATGCCTCTCATTTCACAAGAAGAGGATTTGCTCAAGACTAAGATACACCCAAGAATGGATAAAATTGGCTCAAACACAAATGATGCAAACAAGCCATGGTTTCAAATGTTTAGAATCTAACAATGCACAAGAACTAAATTCTTAAAACAAATATTAAGCCATGTATCAATCAATAACTATATTTTTCATGAATGAATCACTCTATCTCTCCTCTTCGAATAAGGATTGAAGAAATTACGCGTTTGCAACCGCGGGGACAATTTCACTCAACTAACAAACAATGTCAATATCAATTCAATTCATACAAAATCTAACAGTCAAAAGCGAAAATATGGAAGCAAGAAGATCACTAAGGTCTTTTAGGTTGTAGCTTGGTCGGGTTTACAAACAAGGGACATTTCTAAGGCCATTGAAACGAAATTGCCGATGCAAAAGAGACATTCACCGAACACGTTATTTACACACCTCAACTTCATTCCATTTGTTTTTCGATTGCAAACCTTCCCAACTCTTATTTCACAACTTATTCTTTCACTATTTTTTTCTTTTCCAAGCAAGCATTCTTTTTCTTTTCTCTTTTTTTTTTCTTTTCTTTTGTTTCATATTCACACAATTTTTTTGGTGCTTGCTTGAATTTTTCAAAAGTTGTAGCAACCTACTATCTTCCTTTTTCATTCGCCCCAACTTAACTTTTACTCAACCCTCAAGTGAATGTTCTTAGCTTTTTATGGCAAAGAAAACAATTAAAACAAGTTCAAGGGTTCAAGAAAAATTTTAGAATCTCACACCAACTCACACTGAGATCCATATTGTTTAGGCTCAAGGGGGTTAACGAATTCTCTCTACTCACGGGTAAGTTGCATTTGGAACTGGTTGTGCTCAATACAAACAAGTGTCTTGATCATTTCTAATGCTTCCACAAATTCACAATGATAACAATATAAATCATGAATCATACGAATCAACAAAGTTTATCAGAAATCCAGCATTTAGTAAACAATGGAAGCTTTCTCACAAATTATGGTTTTAAGTCCTAAGTGAAACAATCATTCAAACAAGTTGCCAAAAGAACAAATTTCATTTGCACAAAGACTTAAGTTCTTAAGCATTCTAAAATTCTAAACAAAGGAAACCATGTACCTTGACAACATTCACTTGTTTCATACTATCATCGCCATCCAAACTCGGTCGAAGCTTCATTGAATGCTTTTATACCGATAGCAACCACCCTAGAAGGAGTTTTCGTCATTCTTGAACACACTAGAAAAAACGTAAAAAGAAACAATATATACAAAATATACAAAGCTTAAAAACATAGAACCGTTGCAATGCACTTCAAAATCTCAACACCAATCCCCGGCAACAGCGCCATTTTGTTGGAGCGGTAAAGCAGCAAGCAAAAAATATTAAGTACCCAGTTTTGTCGTCTCCACAGGTATTAGTACGATCTGAACGCCGTTCAACGATTTCTACATTTCTAAGCTTATTATTCAAAAGGTTTGGTTTAAAAGTTCTAGGAACCATAAATAAAAACAGAAATTATAAAATAAAGACTGAAATATAAACGGAGCCT